AAATGCTACTGATCAATGCCAATTTCTTTTGAAAATAGAAACCTTTTGAACCTTGAAAAGCCTTGTCCTCTTGCTCTATCTCTAAATACCACATGGGGAAATGGCCAGAAAAAAGGACATTTTTTCCCTTGCCTCTAGTATTTAAGGTCCAAAAGTTCAGCTAGACACAATTGATTTAATTGGTTCTAGATCTAGTGACAAATTATGCTTGTGTACACTGGAGTGTGGTATACAGTGTCTTTCTTTTTAAAAAGTAGCAACTGAATTAAATTTACGTCTTTGTAACTACATAAAAGAAGACAAAATATTGGAAAAAAAAAGGTACATTTAATTCATCACTGTCTGCTTAGGTGCAAAGTGAAATTCTTAATAAAACCATTAAACAATTAGGCAGCAAACTCTTGAATATTTACTAGAATACAATATGAGGAAAAGTGTATTTTTTAGTTTTAAGTCTGTTTTTAGTAGTTCTCAGGGGAACTACTAAAAGTCAACTGTTTTATGTACTTAAGCATGACAATAGCAACTGCATGTTTTCTGACTGTTCGTCATACTTTTGATTTAATAATAAGACGTCCATAATACATAAATCCTCTCAGGAAAAAAAATCATATGATTCTTAATTAATATAGAAAAATATGAATATATACAAATGCCTGTATTGTATCTTTTATCAAAACAATTACTTTAGTTGACAGATATATACATTTTTAGCTTAATAACTTATGGTATCTAAATTCCTTTTAAATCAAACGCGTTGTGAAACAGGTTTCAGTGAGTTAACTTGTAAAAGTGTTTTTACTTTGCAAAAGTTCCCAATACTGTAGATGATAATGGCCTATGGCACAAACCTAATTATGTTTTGGCATTTCCACTCTTTCTGACAATTCTATATGTGTCAGGTGGCATTGACTCTTATCTGTACTCTGCTTCTCTCTCACTAATCAACTTGATATAGCTAGTCGAATTCCTGAAGACTGGATTTAAGTCAAGTGCATTCCTATACATTTTAATAACTTAGTTTCTGTGTACTGGATGTTATGCAACAGATTTCTACATAGTTTATGAACATATATTTCAAAATTATATAACAAAAACAAACAATAAAAACAGCAATACGAGAAATTAAACAGTTGTTTCAAAGACAAATATGTTTCTACTTAACCTCAAGCAACACTTACCTTTAAGTGTTTAATGTACACATACATATCACTTTTCATGTTTTTAAATTATTGAAGGATTATAATAATATAATTAGAACAATTAATTGTGTATATGTGCATTAAAGTTTATAATTAACTATTGTTCTATTTTTTATACATACGCTCATATTTTATGTAGGTTGGTAGAATTTATATTATGACTTACCAAGCTATTCACACCCCTGAGGGTAGTGAAATACTGACTGAGGAACACACATAAAAAAAAGCATCTAAAATGATTTTGATGCAAAATCCAAATTAATTTGGATCCAAAATCAAATTTACCTGCTGGATACTCTGACAGTCTTAGTTTTTGACATGAGGCTAAGAAAACACATAATTTCACATTGAATTCATCAATCCTCTTGTCCATTAGTGTCCCCAGATAAAATGCTGCCAAATCACTTAGTTTACTTAGCCAGGAGATGTTAAGTCTCTTGGCACATTGCCCACACAATTAAAACAAAAGAATCTCTTGGTCACATCTACCGTCCTTGGAAGTATGCATTTGCATATGTAACCTATCTTGTTTAAAATTAAAAGCCCAGACTTTATTATTGAAAATGCTTCTCGTCCTAAGCAATCTGTATGCCTACCCGCATGTTTTTGACCACTTTCATTGCACTGACGTCTACAAGATTATTCCATGGACCATTCTGTAAATAATTTAATATTTTGACCTCAATCATTATTAATTGGCCAATGTTTGCGTCCTGTTAGTTTGTCATTCATTTTGTCAAATCTTTTTCGGTGGACAAAATTCTAGTGAACTGAACCACAATAAGCATGTAGTTTGGCCATTCCAAAAGAAAAAATTTCACACAAAGTAGTTAAGCCAAAACACATTTTTCTGCCGTGCAAGTTTCGATGGGACAGCTGTATGGGCAGCAATTGTAAATGAAATTTGTTTGCAATAAATTAATTTCATTTGAAATTGTTAAAATTGAGTATATGTGTATGTTGTTATGGAAATATACCCTGGGAATTGTGTATACACGACTCATCTAAGGGGGCCTTAAAGGAACACTATAGGGTCAGGAAAACAAACATTTATTCCTGACCCTATAGTGTTAAAACCACCTCTGGGCCACTCATGCATCCCTAAATATAGCAAAATCTTACTTGTATTTAAGCATGAATCTTTAACTCTGCATGCTGTGTGCCTCAGAATAGCAAGCTGTCTGCTGACATCATCAGAAGTGGTGGCCTGATCCAATCACAGTGTTTCTCCATAGGATTGGCTGAGACTGACAAGGAGGCATCTCGGGGCAGAGCCAGCATAATTCAAACACAGCACTGGCCAATCAGCATCTCCTCATAGAGATTAATTGAATCAATGAATTTCTATGAGGAAAGTTCAGTGTCTGCATGCCGAGGGAGGAGATACTGAATGTTTGGATGCATTTTAGGCAGCCATGACACAGGAAGGATCTCTAACAGCTATCTGAGGAGTGGCCAGTGAAGTTATCACTAGGCTGGAATGTAAACACTGCATTTTCTCTGAAAAGACAGTGTTTACAGCAAAAAGCCTGAAGGTAATGACTCTACTCACCAGAACAAATTCAATAAACTGTAGTTGTTCTGGTGACTATAGTGTCCCTTTAAACATAAAAATGTGAGACTTGTATTTTAAAGTAATGTAATATGTCTATTTAGATCCCATAGCATCAATGGTGAAAAACCAAATATATATAAAAACAAACATAAAATCATGACAACATATTACAGTTTGCGCTTGCTTAGTGTTTCTACTTAAAGGTACCAGAAAACATAACTATATTTTTAGATAACAGATTTGTTCACTTACTGGGCTTAAAATTGGAGATTCTATTCCTGTACTTCCAACATAATGAAAGATGCAGAATGGAACCAGAAAACAAACTTCAATTATTTGAAATAAAAATGCCATAGAACTGGAGAATTCCCACATAACAACAGTTAGCTAATAATTTTCTCTCACCGTGTGTGGGTCAAATCTAGAGAATATTAATGAGTGAAGATCTGCTAATTAAGTTGGTTTGTTGATATTTGGGTCAGTGCAGCAAGTGAATACTTGTCAAAGATACAATTTATGAGTTATTATTAAACTTCGATAAAACAATCCTGCATCTACCTGAAGATGAACCCACCATCTGTTCCCTGGAGCGGCCTTTGATATCTCGCTTGGTTTTCATAGAATTAAATAGTTCTATATTATTAATATAATGTACATTTTAGAAAATCATATTTATAGCAGCATGAGGAGAGGAATGCCAAAAACAAAAGAGGAGATACACAAGCAGGTTGCAATATCTTTTATGTGCAACAAAAATATTATTAGGTTTCAGTTTCATAAATATATAATATTTTTAGCACCATTTGCCATCTGACAAGGGAATCTACTTCTGTAGGGTAAAAAATATCACACATACTATAAAAGCTGCAGTTCTTGCATTATCCAAAGTGTTCCTAGCACTATAGCTCGCTTGTGCTCCCCTGTCCCCCTCGCCACTCACAGCCACCCCTCCTCCAGTGTAAGGGTTAATAAACCCTAACTGTACTTTTCAGATTCCAGCGTCAATGTCTCTCAGCATTGGGTCATGCTCTACCCCCTCCAACGTCACATGACGGGGGGCCTAATGCGGCAAACGCTGCAAGTACATTAAGCCCTCCCCATATTAAAGAATTCTCAGAAACTGCAATAATTACCATTGCAATGTTAAGGGGACAGGGACACTGCACTTAGACCACTTCAATGGACTGAAGTGGTCTGGGTGTCTAGAGTGTCACTTTACATTGTGATAGAATGGGAGATCTGTGCCTATGTCTAATTAGATGTAAAACCATTGCTCCCTTTTACGAAGCTTGTCCTTAGGCTGAAGAATGTCAGCATATGACATTCAGATAAAACATATCAGTATGGATCCAACTATTTATGACAGTAAAGTCTTAGACCTATTGCTCACATTACTAGAACTATGTTTATGTTAACTTATAACATCTCATTAACAATTATTATTTTTCATTTAACCTAACGTGTACCCTAAAATATATGATGTAAAATAACGATTATTCATACCACATAGATGAGTAAAACCCATTCATTTTCCTTTCTATATTTTCTTTTTCTCAGTGTTCATTTTGTACATTGAGGTTAATGTCCTAGTTAGTAAAGGTGGTTATAGAGGTTTCATTATTTTTGTCTCTCATTGAGGTTTCAGCAACGTCTGGTTTACATAGATATAGATATATCTTATATGAATATTAATAGATATCTCTACAAAAGCTGCAAATCCTTGGGTTTTAAGGTAGCAGAGATACCTATATCTTATAATAATTTTATGTGCTTTATTTTGGTTGGAGATTTTTTAATCCGCCATCTCCATAATGTATTAAATAAGGGAGTGAGCACCTATTTGAATTGACCATTTAAACAAAAGAAAGTAGATACAAAATGCCTTGATGTCCAATAACAGTTTTATACTTACCAATAGGTCACAAATATAGTATAGAGCCTTCCTTGGACCTGTTAAACTAAAAAATTGTGATTTAATCAATACAAGCCATCAAAATTATGTTTTCGGGGCATGGCCACAACGCGAATGGCGTTAGACACCTGAGGGATTAGCTCAGTCGGTACACTAATCTAAAAGCTTCATTCCACAGCAAAGTACCGGCTACCACACACTCGTTAGCCACCCTAATCCGAGAGAGGGCAAGATGTCAAGCAAAACGGCCTGCAAAACAACGGCAGGAGGTGAGCTTACAAATTACGCCAGAGCCAAGATGGCGGCGGAGCCCCGCACTCACCTGCCTCAGAATCCAAAGCCAGTGATATCACCTCGGTGTCCCGGCAACCCTGTATTCCACAAGCTGAATGGGACATTAAGCTCCTAATAGCAGATCTAAAACACACTATGAGGGCAGACCTTCAAAAACTGGCAATAGAAATCAAGAGAGATGTGCAAGCCATAGGGGACCGGACAGCGCATCTGGAGGATAAAATGGAGGCAGTCATTGAAGCACACAACACCTTGGCTGATGCGTACACTACCTCCCAATCCCAACTACAACAAATGGAAATGAAAATGGTGGACCTCGAAGACAAGGCCCGCAGGAACAACAGCCGTCTGCGTGGCATACCTGAGGACATCAAAGCACCTGAATTGAAGGAGTACGTCACGCAACTGTTTTGGGCTGTACTACCAGAGGCAACGGACCCAGACTTGCATCTGGATAGAATGCACAGGCTAGCAAAACTCCGGAATATACCAGCAGCAGTACCCAGGGACACGATTGTCCGAGTACACTTCTACACAATAAAGGAAAAGCTCATGCTGGCAGCACGAGATCCAAGAGGCCTGGACAGTCATTTTGCAGGAATACAACTTATTCCTAGCCACGATGGTGAAGTGGAGAGCATTCACCCTCATCACCAAGGCTCTGCGAGATGCCTCTGTGCCATGCAAATGGGGCTTTGGGTAAGCTAAAGTTTGGTTACCTGTTGTAATGTTTCTGTATTTAGCTAGTTCAGAGTAAAGGTATGGCAAGTCGGGAGGGGAGGGAATGTCCACAGGTGAGGCGGTTCAGGGACATGACCGCTACAGTGCAAGCTATGTTAGCCAAATTAACACACAATAAATAAATAAATAATAATAAAAAAAACAGTCATAGAATGGAGAATATTTCCACATATAATAGACAAAGGGCTCTCTGAACAGTAGACTCGGTTCAGATTATATTAAGAAAGCCGGTATAGATATAGCTGGGATTGAAAAAGTTTCTGTTACACAGCTCATGTATATATTACCTCATTAACGCTGTAGTTAAATGCAGCGCCTATCGACGATGATTCCTTTTGTTGCGCAATCTATGTATTACAGTGATCTCTGTCAACATCCCCCCCAGGCCCTTCTAGGGCCAAAGTGGTGTTTATGAGAGACGCCACTTCTGTGAACTTCCTATCCAGTGGAGGCCCACACCAGGTGTCCAAGGAATGTGGGCAAATGTATATATGTTCTTATTGGTTTATATCTAATTTGTTTTTCTTTCTTCTATACTTCTTAAATTCTTTACTGGGTGATCCAACTTCAAACTACTCAAAGAAACCTTACATCTTTGGAGAGGGTGGAGGAGGGCGTAGAGACAACACATGGTATAAGTTAGCAAGCGGAACTTATGGGAGATTACCTCTGGATAAAGGTCAGGGTGAAGGATGGGCAGGCATCGCAGCTAAAGGGAAGAAGTTACAAAAATGGTATTGATAGTCCTTTCCTTAAACACTAAGGGTCTCAAATCCACCCTCAAACAGAGAATGGCACTACAGGAAGCAAAAAAGGCTAAGGCCCAAATTGCTTTCTTTCAAGAAACTCACTTCCAGTGGGGTAAGAGACCCAAGTTTAACTCCCCCCTGTACCCAGTAGATTTCCACACATGCTTCGCAAAAAAGAAGAGAGGGGTCTCCATTCTTATTAGCAAAGATGTGGCATTTGAACTCATTAAAAAACTTGTAGACAAACTAGGGAGATTCTTAATAATACACTGCTATCTAAATAACGCTCCATACACGTTAGTCAATGTCTATGGACCACACACAAATCAAGTAACTTTCCTCACCAAGATTTTCCACATTAACCAAATCCTCTTAGAGCAAGGGTTTATAGACCTATGGAGGGTCACTCATCCTCAAGAAAAATACATAACTCGTACTCACGGATAGACCAGTTCCAAATAACCAACTTACTACTAAGCGATGTGGTCAATACAACAATAGACACCATAATGTGGTCAGACCATACCCCAATCATACTCCACTTAAACAAACAATTCCCAGCTAAGGGCAAAGGCTCATGGCGGCTTAATTAACATTTGCTTATGAACCCGGTGATTTTGAAAGATGTTCGTACAGAACTCATAACCTATTTTGACCTAAATAAACACCCGGACACATCCATAGAATACAGGTGTGAATAGCACACAAGGCATTTATTAGAGGGGTCTTCATTAAACATGCTAGAAGAGTTAAGAAAGAACATCTCACCAAATATTTAAACCTTACTAAAAGGCTTACTGAATTCAATGTTATGAACAAAACTGAACCCCAAGCTAAACATCTCCTAGAGATCAAGGATATTAGAACCCAATTGCAAGAATTAGAATTAGCCAAAATGAACTTTTTGTTGAGGAGACTCAAATCTAAATTGTTTGAGCAAGGTAATAGGGCAGGGGAACTTCTTGCAGCAAGGCTTAAAAGAGAAACCTCGCCACTAAGATTGCACACATTTATAACTCAGAGGGCCAAAAAATTGTTAATCCTGACCTAATAGTATAAGAGTTTACACACTTCTACCACAAACTCTGTAACCTCAAAGATGAACCGCACACTGTACAATCAACACAACAACGAATACAGGATTTTCTAAATGGGATTCCGTTAAGATCTATACCCAAATCAAAAATCGCCGAACTTCTGCAACCAATCTCGGCAGACGAAATACGCCACCTCCTTAAACTCCTCACAAACGCCAAATCACCAGGGCCAGATGGTTTCTCTGCCACCTATTACAAAACGTTCCCCAATGAATTTGTCCCGCATCTCCTGGATCTATTTAATCATAGCTTCACACAAGGCACCCTACCGAAAGAAATGTTACAAGCTCATATTGTTACATTACCGAAACCTGGAAAAAAAACAACTGTCTGTGCCAATTTTCACCCCATTTCCCTATAAAACATAGACACTAAACTCTATGCAAAACCTCTGGAAATCAGAAGCAAGGACCTGCTCCCTAACCTAATTCATTATAACCAATCAAGATTTATCAAGGGCGACAAGGCTCAGATAACTCCAGACTCTTACTGAATGTGATAGAACATCTTCATACCAAAACAGACGAAGGCTTATTGTAGGCTTTATACGTAGAAAAAGCCTTTGATAGGCTCAATTGGCTACATATGAAATCTGTTCTCAAAAAATTTGGATTCCCTGCAACGTTTATTCAGGCAATAATGGCCTTGTACATTCTCCCAGAACCTAGTGTTACCAATGCAGGATTTATATCCCACCATCCCCAATTACAAATGGGACTAGGCGGGGGTGCCCCCTATCCCTACTACGTTATATGCTCTGTTTAGAACCACTGGTGCAAGCAGTAAGACAAAACCCAAACATTCATGAGGTTAATATAAAGGGTCATCACTATAAACTGTCATTGTTTGCAGATGACGTGATGTTGACATTAACGCAACCAAATATCTCCCTTCCTAACATTATGCCACTGTTGGAAACCTTTGGTTCAGTCTCATACTACAAGCTTAACACAGCTAAAACACAGGTGCTACCAATTAATATCCCAAGCAATAAAGTCAAAACAATGAGAGCCACCTATAAGTTCCAATGGAGAACAGATTCGGTGATCTATCTAGGGGTGCGAGTCAGAAAATCTCTCTCTACACTATACAAACAAAACCATGTTCCCTTGCTGGAGACAATCCGTAGGGACTTGGATGCATGGAAAGATACTATGATCACATGGGCAGGACGCATCAATGCACTAAAGATAATGACCCTACTGAAGCTTCTTTGCTTATTCCTTATGCTGTCTATTGACAACACCCAATCCATTTTTGCCAATTTTATTTGGGGTGCCAAGAGTTTGAGAATAGCAAAAAATACACTACGCAGAAACTGAGTGGAATGGGGGTTCCTCATATAGCAAACTACTGAGGGGCCGCCTTGGTTGCACAGGTTGTTAACCTACATGCACCTAAGGAGAAATTACTCTGGGTGGACATGGAGCGCTAACAATTGTTTTAGAAAGGATAAAACCACCACCCTTCTTCACACCACAAAAACAACAGTTCAGGCCTGGGACAAAACTAGATCTTCCTCCTCAATCCCCTTAAATTTCACAGACTGGCCCTGTTAAAAACACTGGTCACAATTTCCCCTTGGCTCACGGTTATTCCGTGGGAGCAGGCGGGTATTACAAATATTTCCCAATTCCTAATGGGCAACAATATAATCCCATTTGCAGATCTGCAACAGACATATGGCCTATCCCCAAGACGTATGTTACAATATCTGCAAATAAAAAGCATACTAATGGATCATCTGGACATACCCATAGAGGAAGATTCCTCAAACAAACAGGACAATAGTGGTTTGCGAGCCAAGCTGCCTTCAACATGGATGCTGTCCAGGAAGTAGGAGGGTCTGGGAGGGAGAGTCTGCCGGAGATTGGCAGGGATGTGTCAGCTAACCGGAGTTCGCCGCGAACGGTTCGTGGCGAACCGTGGAGAACCGTTTGCGGCAAGTTCGCAAACGGTTCGCGACATCACTAGTTTTCTATGAAATGCCTGTTATCTTGATGTATACACCCCTATGATGTACCAATGTAACACCCCTTTCTGCTTTCTGTATCCTGATATCAACTTTGACTTATAAAATCAATAAACTACAATTATAAAAAATTGTGTTTGTATTTTTTTTGCCTGGGAGCTGTTTATGTAGCTTTATTTATCATTCTGATAATATTATTATTATTATTTAAGTGAAGTATTACCCATTTAATTAAAATATATTCTGCATGACCAAGTGAAATATATCTATTACTTTTCCATTTCGCAAAGTTCATTTGTTCAATATATTCATCTCACATACATTGTAGCGATTTTTGGTTTCTTGTATTCATACGGATGAATGACCACAATTTTGCTTAATAGCTGCCACAGATATTGATTTTATCACTTTTCAGAGTCTTTTATGCAATTAAGTTGGCAATTAGCTATTGCAGATGTTTCATATTGTTACCAGGTATCACTGGTCATGCTTTTGCAATTTTTCATTTCCTTTGAGTTAACTATAAAAAGGTCTTAATAACATGCAATGAAAGAAATATCATAGAATTTGTTTATATATTTTTTTACTTACCCTCAGTCACAACAAAACGATGCATTCTTTATAACACTTGATACTTAAGACTTTTTGTTTTTTTACTTTGATGATTAACCCCTTTACTACCTAGTAATTTTTTATAACATAATTTAAAAAAAAAACACAAGTGCAATATTAATTTAAAAAATGGGATGACTAGAATTTCTGGCTTATAAGTATAGTACAAAACCGCAGATTCTTGCATGTTGTTAAGGAATACTTAAAAAAAAACTACCGTA